GCGCAGGCGCAGTGGCCGCCCGGCCGCCACACCCCGGCGACGCCCGCGCGGCGTCTGTTGGAACGACGGCCAAACAGGCCTCCGGCTCCAGGGCGCAGGCCGGATGAAGAGGCAGTCCCCGCCCGCCCGCCAATCCCCCACAAACCAGGTCTGTGCGTTCCGAGGACTCGTCAGGAGCGGCCCAAGGCGGTAGCACCACAGCCGCGAAAACGCTCAGCTACTCCTCAGGCTCCTGTCTTCTTTGGCTTCTACGTTCTGACCGCGGCGTCCTGACGTCATGAGGAGGCTTCTACCCGCCCCCTTCCCCAGCAGCCAATGGGCACTGTCCGTTTGGTTTGAGCCCGCCCTTCCGCCCACTCCATCACGTGGGCGGTATTTTAATAAAAGCCGGAAGTCGGGGGCAGGGACGGTGGCCCCGAAGGGTCAAATGCCCGCAGGTCTCCCTGCCCTCCGCTCTTTGGTGAAACCTTGTTTTGATCCAGTGTTAGGCAGCCATTATTATCCCAAATGTGTGTGTGGGCTGGAGTGATGAGAACTGCGGGACAAGTCACAGCAGCGTGACGTGTAAGGCCAGGGAATGAATAAGGAGCTGGAAGGGCGGGAGGCGAGGACTCGCCTCGGACGGGGAGCTTTCCTAGTAAATAACGCGAGGACGGCGCACCTGGAGCGGGGAATGGCGCGTCCCTCTGGGCGGGGGCGTGTGTGGGATCCTGGCGCGGAGCGAGGCTGAGGACCCGGGGCCGCGTTGCGGGTGGGCCTTTCCGAGTGTGGACAGCGCATTGTCCAGGTCGGAGACTGGTCGCTGTAGTCGGAGAAGAACAGCGTCCCAGAGGCAGTTTCCCTTCCTGTCCACTGCGAGGGAAGCTGCCCTGCGGGTCACCAACGCCACTGTGAGGCCTTTTTCTCACGGTGTTAGTGCTAGCATTGGTATTTTTCAAGCAGCTTTTGAAAATTGCGGCGTTTTGTATTAGAGAATGTTAGATCGGCCGAAAAAGTTGCGAAGCCAGTAGCGGGTTACGCATGCGCCCTGCAGCTGCTCCACTGTCGTCATCTCACGGCTGTGGCTTGTCAGAGCTGAGACGCCGACAGTGGCGCATTACCCTCAGCTGAGCCCTGGGCTTTATTTGGATTTGAATTCATTTTCCACTAATGTTCTTCGCGCGCCAGCGTCGAATCAAGCGCCCTGCAGCAGCTGCATTTAGTTTCGTGTACCTGCCATATCAGAAGTGCGTTTCTTGAATAAAGACACCCAATTGCTGGATGAGGCAGCTGAGATCAGCAGGCCAGGTGACCCGCCCGGGGCCATAGAGGGGTGAGCACAGGACAGGGTCTAGGGACGTCCCCTGCCCAGCCAGGTGAGCACACCCTTGGCTCTGTAGGCCCTCTGCTTTGTCCTCTCGGCACTGCTGCCTGGCCCTGCCGCTGCAGGACCTCCTCCGCAGCTCCTGGGAAGTCTCAAACTCGGCCCAGAGCTGCTGTCCCAGAGCCCTGCTGTGTGTCCCATGACTCCGTGGACTTCTCTTACTGCAGACTTCCGTTTCGTGGATTAGCTGATCAAAGTGTTGTTGCGGGCAGCTCAGAATACAAAGAAAAATAGCCTTAGATGCCTATGCTTCTGTTTCCTGGAAACTGATTACCGAGAGCAGTCGAGGAGCTTTGGTTTTTCTCCGTACGGGCAGGTTGTTTCTCTCGAAGGCTATGGCTGGGCGTTTGCCCTCCTGGCCAGCGCGGGATAGCACCCTTTTTAATTTCAGGTACCTCAGTAGTGGAAAAAAGTAACTGCTGATTGTTTCACATTATGTTTCCTAATCATCAGAATTTGAGTGTCTGACCATTTAGACAGACCCTGGGATTTTCACTGCCTTGAATGTTCATCTTAGTTGCTTATTTTTAGTTTATGGACACATTTGTAGATAATATATTAAGAAAAGTATATTTCTTTGTCATATGTGCTAAAGACACACATATTGTTCACCAGACTGTAAATTTGCCTTTTGACTTACTCTCTTCTTTTTTTCAATTCCGTGATTCATCAAATAAATTACCATTTCCTTTCTGGCTTTAGGATACCTTGCTTAAAGTGCCCCCCACCCGCCATCTGGATATACAACATGCAAATGCCCTTCTAATTTTCCTCAAAGTACTTGTGTTCCTCTGTGGTACACATCTAGATCTAGCTGACTCTAGAGCTAGCTGAGTCAGCAGGGCTGCTTTAAACCCAGCGGTGCTCACCGTGCTCGCCACGTTGCCCTTCTGTCATGTGTGCACCCGGACACGCTCGGAGCTTTTCCAGTTTATGCTGTCCCTTCTGGTGTCAGGACATGTTTGCCTGTTAGAACTGGAGCTGCTGCTGAGCCTGAATGGGGCAGCATGGCCTCACAACCCCCAGCGGGGAGGCTTCCCCACCTCTCAAGTCGGGAGCAGAATCCGGGGAGGGGGGAAAAATAAGAACCCAGTGGCTCATAAAATAAAGACTTCCCTTTTATTTCGTATCAACCCTTTTGCAAGTTAGTGCCACAAGTTCAGATCTGGGGCCGGAACCCACTGGAATGTGGCAGGGGCAGAGAGAGACACGCCCCTGCCCCAGCTCAGTTCCGCCAAGGATGAGACCGACAGTGAGGGGCTTGGGGCTGGCTCTGTGCCCCTCCCCTGCCAGCCTTGGTCCCTGTTCAGCCCCTGCAGCAACCTCCAGGGCTAAGGAGAGATGGAGGGCACGGGGGCCAGGGCACGAGGCAGTCCTGTGCGGGGTGTCCATGGCCAGGAGTGTTAGTGGTCAGAGCCCAGGCAGGCCGGGTTAGTGGGGTCTCCTCTGGCAGCCAGGAAAGGAACTGCAGAGAAAGGCAGAAGCAGTGTGCTGACCGGCCGGAGGGCCGCCTGGTGCGCACCCACCCAGAGGAAGCCCCTTGGGGTACTGGAGGGGAGGCCAGGGTGCCACAGGGGCTCACTGAGGAGGGGAGGCAGGCTCCAGGCTGGCAAGGAGGAGGGGCTCAGATAGACGACTGCCACTGCACAAAGCGCTTCGATTCCTGCCAGACACACCGGGGACAGGAGATAAAGCGGGACCCGTCTTGTACTGTGGACCTCCAAACCTCCTCAGGCCTGGGCGTCCAGAACCGGCCTCCTCCCTCAGACCCAGGCCCGGGGCCCCACCCTCCTCCCTCGCTCAGACCCCACTCAGACCCGGGCGCACACCTGAGGGTTGAAAGGGTCATCGTCCTCCGTGTCATCGTAGTCGTCACTGGCGTGTGATGGGCGTGGCAGAGAAGCAGGATGGGGACCCATCAGGAGGCCACGCCCTCCCCAGCAGTGGCCCTGGGGGATGCCTCCTGTCCCCTCCCCCGGGACCCTGCCCTCTCTCCCCTGCTGACCTGGGCGCGAAGAGGGCCCAGGCGCGGGGCAGGCTGCAGAGGGCGGTGGCCAGGGCCCCGGCAGACAGGAGGGAGAAGAGCAGCAGGAAGAGCAGGCCCTCCAGAGCGTCCTCACACAGGCCGCGCAGCGCTGCACTGTAGTCCTGGGTGGAGGGAGCGTGTCAGTGCCCACACCCGCGCACACCACCCGCTGCCCGCGTGTACTGCGCTAGTCACCGGGCCCTCTGCGCCTCGGTCTCCTCCCCATCAAAGGGCTGTTGCGAGGATGGAGGGTCACTCACCCAACCGGCCTGGCTCCAGCCTGGGCCTCTGCGGAGCTGCAGCCCCTGCTTCCCGCCCCATTTCACAGCAGCCCCCTCATCGGAGCCAGCCCAGCGTCTCCACCCAGTATCCCAAGAACTCCAGAGCCCAGGCGCCTGGGACCTGCACGTGGGGCCGGCCTACGCACTGTGCAGTGCTGAGCACTGTCCCTGCCTCTGCCTGCTGGGTGTCAGCAACAGCCTGCTTCCGCAGTTGCGCCAGCCAGCACGTCTACTGCACACATTGCCAAGAGCCCGGGCCCAGAATCGCTGGCTGAGCACCGCACATGGGTGACAGCTGGAAACCCCTCACTTGGTACATACAGCCAGTGCTGGCTGTCATGGCCACCAGCCCACACTCAGCAGGACAGCAGGGACCCTGAACCAGGAGCAGGCCCTGGCCCATTCTGCAGGCCTGGACTGAGTGCGTGCTCGGCACCAGACACACTCCCAGGACTAGGGCCCTTCCACAGAGAGCACCGAGGAGGTCACTCTAGATGACAGCGAGCAGTGAGACCGGAAGATCAGAACACAGTGTGAGACCAGGCACCGGGCTGGCGGGGTGGGACCGGCAAGGAACCAGGCAGATGGCCCGAGGGGGTTGGTGACAGGCCCTTGGGCTGCTGCAGGGTGTGGGGAGGCAATGGTGCTGAGGCTAGGGAGCCTGAGGTCAGAGCAGGTAGCGGGAGCTTAGTCCGTGCGCAGGGAGAACCACCAGGCTTTTAGGTAGAGGAGACCTTGATCGGATTGTGCGCTCAAAGCATGGCCAGCTGTTGGCTGGGGGTGGACAGATGGGGTGGGCAGGGCGGACGGGAAGAGGCTCCTATGCCGAGAGGCGGTGGGTGAGGAGCTCTGCTTGTAGGGCAGCAGGCACACCTGCAACGCCCTTTCATGCCCTTTCATCCTCAGGAGCCCTGCAGGGCAGAGGCCCAGACCCTCGTGCTACAGCTGTGGCTGGGGTGGAAAGAAACCGAAGCCCAGAGAGGGCAAGCTACCTCTGCCATCACACACCCTGGGAGGGAAAGGCTGGGACTGGAGCCATTTTCCTCAGCTCCAGAGCCCACCTCCTTCCTCCCTGTCCCTGCTGTCCCTGCTCCCTCACCTCACTGGCTCTGCAGCAGCCCCTCAGGGATCCCTGCTGTGCTCCCTTGCCTCCTGCTGCACCCACCGGCAAGTCTGTCAGCTGTTCCTCTGAAGCCCATCTGGGCTCCAGCCACTGTTCACGCAGCCCCACTGCTGCTGCATGTGGGGAGCCTGAGGTCCAGATGGGGAACCGAGGCCCAGTGTCAGGTGGCGTATCGTGGGGGCAGAGACTCTGGCCCATCCTCTCCCCTCCCTTCACGAAGGAGGCTTGAGCCGGGCACTGCAGCCCAGTCAGGGCCCATAGAGCGCTGGGCCCCAGGGTGCTCTCATGGAGTAGAGCAAGGCCCACTCCTGCCTTCTCAGCCCTGAGCCTGCAGCTCTGCCTCCAAGCCTCGTTAGTGCAGACAGTGGTATAGACAGTGCCTCTAGATTGAATTGCACGTAGCCATCGGGCAGTGGTTTAGCATAAGCACCTCTCCAGGATGGCATGGGCAAGCGCAGTACAGGCAGGCTCCCTGCTGTTTGCTGGATCTGGCGTCCCTGTTCTGGGGCAGGCCAGGTTGGGGAGAGTGGTGGAGGGGACCAGGTCTGGGCTGAGCAGGGGCCTTAGTGTGGGCGGGGAAAGATACTCCTGAAGTATGACATCTTGTCATAACTTGCCCTGGGTCCTGGACACAGAGCTACAGGGGCTAATGGGTTTCGGTGTTAGTTTGATTCCATTCTTTTCTATCTTCCTATTCTTCCCTTTTGGAATGGG